AATCGAGCAGTGAACTTCCTGCTAGCAGTGGCAATCATGGTAAGATTTCTATGTTGCCAAATGTGAATACGGAACTGAAAACGGATCCGAATTTGAGTAAAGGGAATGGAAATGATGGACTGCAGATGAATTGGGGAGTGCTTCAAGAAATATCTGATTTATTGAAATCTGTGGAAAATAGAAAAGATGGAAATCGGAAGATCCTTGCAATGGAAAAGAAGGTAATTTTGTATTACGGCAACTTCTGAACTTATCCCCGATTGTTTGAATAATTGTTTTCTTTTTCTTCAGGTACAAGTGGATGAGATTATTAACATCTTAGCCACTGAAATGATTCATTTCTCTGATAAGAAATCTCCTGTTGGTGAAGATAATAACACGCTGGGTGAAGCTGCCAACACAATTGAGGAATTGAAGCAGCTTTCTTCTTTGATTACAAGGTTAGTCTTTGTGGGGCCTATTTGCTAACAATCTGGCAACCGAATAGCAGTAACTAGCCCAACCAAGTATCTATAAGCACAATTGAGGAAATCATTTCTTGTGCTCTTGATCTTTTGATTGCTCATAATCATGAAAACTCTACCGAGCGTGTTATCTCACTTTCCTGATAATCGGATTGTAACCACGGCATACTCTTTTAATATTACGATATAACTCTATGTTCTGAGTATCAAATATTGCCCCTTCTTTCTTTAGGAGTGACTTTGGCAATCATGGAAATTTAGTCTTATTCCTGTTTTATCAAAAGAAAGTTGAAAAGTCTTATTCTGAAGACAAAAGCATATTTTTGAGGTTATTGCATTTGGCGAATGTTATATTTGTATCTTGTACTTGAATGACGTGTTTTTTAAATAATCTCCAGTGACTTGGAAGAGAGAGAGACTTTGATGATTGGAGAACTTTTGAAAAGCTTGGAGTCGAGAAGGCCTAAACTCGACATATACCTTAGGCGGTCTGTTGTGCAGAATAATACAAAAGAAAAATATCAAAGTGTTGTATCTTGTGACGAGGAAATTTCTAACAGAAATAGTAGTGAAGACAGCACGAAAAATTTACCCGTCACTGTTGCTCCCGAAACACAAAGTAAGCTAAACCACATCAATGATTATAAAGGCAAGCAAGGAAAGGGAAAGGGCAAGAATAAGAAGGGAAAGAAATCGAAAGGTCGGAAAAAATAAGCTGGATGGAAGTCTTGTACATTGAGCACTTGCAAACTAGTGGAATTTCTGTAAATATTGCTGTTTTGAAACTGCAATGATTATCATGGCCTTCATGCTCTGCCAAATCCTTTTAAGGAGAAAAATTACTGAGCTTTTGTTAGATGGAACATTGATCGTGGCGCGAAAAGAAACAAGTGTCATGTTGGGATTAAGAGCCGAAACCATTTGGATCAACACAATACAAGCAGTCGAAGATGGAGCCCAGACATAACACTGTGCAACCGCACACTGTAGTAACCCATGTGGTGGCAAGGTGGTTGACTGAGACAAAAAAGAGAGTGATGCAAGTGACTTGTGCGACCACAATGAAGAATACCATGCGGTCGCATAGTAGAATTCGAGACCCAAAATTTCCTGTTACGCGAAATCTTTTATTTTAGCTAGGATTCTTATTTTTGGTTACTTTTAAATTCTATAGCACTTTAATTCCATTTTTCCTTAGGGTTTTATGAGCTTTGTATAAATAGACTTCATTACTTTCATTGTACCAACTTGGACATTATTGAGAGAAATAGTTAGAGGCAAATCCTTGCTTTCAAACTTATCAAGAGTAATCTTGTTCTTCTCAAAGCAAAATTCGAACTTATCAAGAGTAATCTTGTGGC